TGTGCTGCCCCACAGCTGATTCACCTCGAAAATCGTCGTAGGGCTACGCCGAGCGCGAACAATGTTTCGGCCATGAATCTGCTCCAGCTTGACCTCCTCACCCAAGACGAAGAGAAGAACTTCAGGGAAAGAGCCATCAAGGTCGTGCAGGCTGCGGGCGGCATTGTGCTCAAGGCTCACCAGGTAATACGTCGTGCACGAACGCACACGACGTGAAATGCTTGCGCGACTGACTTCTACTGCTCGCACCAGGCGTTCTACCAGCTGCTGATGGCGATCGACTTTTTGACCGACGCCAACTTGCAAGTGGCGATCATCGCACCGTCAGGCGAGGAGACACCGGTGGACTCCTTCCTCTCCCTGCTCGGCCGCACCTTCATGCCCAACGCGGTGGTAGCAATGAAGGAGGAGGACGAAGGCACCGGCACCGGCACCGGCGCCAGGCGCTACGAGGTGGGCATGCTACGGGGCAAGACTACGGTCGGTGGCAAGGTGACGGTCATGGTGTGCGACGCCCAGTCAAAGGTGTGCCACGCCCCGGCTCACTCTCCTACTGACCTCGCACGCGAACTGGAGGCCGCCAAGAAGACCTACCAACTCTGATGTGGACTCCTGTCCTTCTTGTACAGCGCCCGCCGTCTGATTCTTCAATCCATAGCGTGGGGTCTTTTGTTATTCTTTAAAGTCGTGAGCACGTCACCTCCGAGTTGAAGTCGTTTGCATGAAAGATCACACGATTGCAGTCCAGTACCCAGGCTGGTGAAGAGTTGTTTGAGGAGTGACGGCCAGCGAAACCCGTTTTGGTGGTTTTTCTTTTTTCGTTGCTCCGCGGAAAGAAGAAACCATAAAAGAAAACAGAAAACAACATTTTTGCCAATTCCAAATGCACAAGAAATCGGCAACGGTACGCGCATGATCTTTGTGTCGGGAGAACGTGCTTGAGCGGCATGCCCATATTGATTAATCAATATGTTTTATTATTTTATTTTTGTGGCCACAGAAAAAGCGAGAGAAAGAAGCGTCGGTGGTCCTGGGCACGATGACCTTCGGCGGCCAGACCGACGAGGAAACGTCGCTGCAGATGGTACAGGAGTTCCTCGCTCGTGGCCACCGTGAGCTCGACACGGCGTTCCTGTACCAGAAAGGCCACACCGAAGAGATTCTTGGCCGCATTCTGGCCAAGGAGCGGCAAGAGCGCGGCGACAGCGGCATTGCGCCGTACGTCGCCACGAAGGTCAACCCGTGGGGCTACTCCGGACGGTCTCTCAAGCCGGCCGACGTCAAGAAGCAGGCAAGCCCGCCACTCACACCACGTTTGTTCGCTTGTCCGTTTCTGACGCGTTGCCTCCTCCAGTTCACCACCTCGCTGCAGAGATTGCAAGTCGACTCAGTAGATCTGCTGTACCTGCACGGCCCCGACTTCAAGAACCCTATTGGTACGCGTCCTGTGCGTAAGTCTGCCCCAAGGGATGAACACCAACCCGTGA